GGACGGTCAATAAGGTGCAGTCTCCGTCTTCAAGAATCTCGTGGTCTTGTGGCAAGAGAGAGCAACAAACAACCCCAGCACGGTTTATTATTAGTTAGGAGAGGACTCAAGGATTGAGACAGGAGAGGTGAATGGTGGGGGAGGGGGAGGTGAATGAGAACGGGTGAGAAAGATAGAAGAATTTCTAAGGTCAAGGTGTAAACTGAGAATCAAAGGACTAGCAGGATTTACTCACACAGGCGAAAGGCTAAATAGCATGTATCATATACACTATCGTAAATAGCATATGACTATCATAAATAGCATGTATCATATACACTATCGTAAATAGCACATACAAGGCCCCCAACACCATAGGCCAGTGCCAGTCCATAACGAGTTCTTCATCTCTGGCAAAATGAGGAAAATATAGGCAACGAGTGAGGTTTTCATTTTTTATTTTCATTAGTGGCCTTTATTCTGAGATTATGCCCTTTCTATTTTTTGACATTAACATAGAAAGACTTTAATGAAACGGTGGCATTTTACAATTTCCTTACTTGCCAAAATACAAAACCATCAACACTGTCTATTTATTTATTTAGCTGGCAATTTTCGAGTCCATTAAATCCTCAATTTGGGAAACTCTGAGCACAACTCACTAACAGAACTGCCAGCACCTGGCATCTTCAGTAAGCAGAGGACACATACAAATAAATACATAATAGTTCACAGAGGAGGTAAAATTCAGAAAGTAGGCCCAAGGACCTCATTATGAAGGGCTTTATGTGGCTGGCTAGGAAGTTTAGACTTTATCTCCTAGGCAAAAAAGAGGAGATGACCTTCAAAAGGGTGAGGAATTCACAAGCATTAGTAATGCTAGACAACTCACTTACCCTTTTTCTGGGCTCCTTTGTAAAATGCTGATGCTGGTAATGACCCCACTTACCAAGACTTTTAGGTGCATAATCACACTCAAGGTGAGTGGATGAAATTCTCCACAAATTCTAGTGTGTTACTCTGAAGGTAGTAGAAAGTTAATATTGATAAGATCCTCCCTCCTCTCCTCTAAATTAATACATAAACTAAACACCTTTTAAAAATCTCCTTTCTTGGCTCTTTTTCCTAGATCACTTTTGGCCAGGATACTGGGTTACCAGTGTCCTAGTGACAAAACATGAAGTGATGCAAACAGAAAGACACTTCTTGGGTGTTAACAGACAAATGGCACATCTTTCCATAGACTTTGATTTTTTTTTTTATTTGTGACGGGAGACCACCTATTCGCAATCTACTAAGTTAATTTTTAAGAGGTAAATAAAATTTAGCATTTGAAATACTAGAATTACCACATTTTGAGAGTTTACCAAGGATTCTCATTCAGCATTCTCCAAAGAAGCCTGGCTGCCATGCAGCACTTGGCAATGTAACAATGCTTCCTTTGTGCATGAACACATGCACGGTTTTGAAATTCCCACAATTGTCAGAAAAGACATGTTTTATCAGTGCATCATCAGTGTTGTGGGGACTTGGCTATGCTTTTCAATTGCTACTGCTCTTGTTGGTAAATATAAATTACTTCAGTCATTGCTGAATTAACCAAAAGGCAGAATTATGTTTAAATTTGGTGTGCCAACCAAGTAGGGGCATCACAGAAATGGGAAAAAAAATGACAAATTTGTAAAAATAATTTGAATTTTTAAAAAAGCATTGATATAGTGATGATGGGCAATTTCAAAGCTTTACTAAACCAAGTAGACCATATTCTTTTCAATGCTTAAGTCCTCTGAAAGCTGTATTAAGAGCTTTTGATTAACTTAGCAATCAACTTTAGTTTCTTGTGAGTTGCTGGCCTAACCATTAGGTGTATGGAGATGAGAATGTACTTTGCAGTATTTTATGCTATAATTCTCAAATAATTTTAATTTCAGACATATCTGTATTATTTTCAGTTCAAAATATGAATCATCGCTAAATGTGCTGGTATAGTCAGAGGCAAGTTATCCTGAATTTGAATTTTGGCCTTATCTCTTACTACATGAGACTTCCATAACCTCTCTCAGTTTTCTCAACTGAAAAACAGACATAAAATACTGCCTACCTCATACATTAGTAGAGAGAACTAATTAAGATCACACATATAAATCTCTTTGCATGAAACGTGTCACATTTCTCAATCAAAGTTAGCCATTAGTAGTAGTGGTAGTAGTATCTGAGTTTAATTTTTCAACTTAGAGTAAAAACAGGTGTGATAGAAGGACAAGAAAGCTCAATGCATTAAAGCCACCAAGTAAACGCACTCGAGTTTTGCCAATGAAGAAAATAGGAAAAGCACAGAACAAATGTTGGAAGAGTTATTTCCACACAGAAACCATCAGGATAGAAAATGGGATGATATCCAAGAAAGCTCAAAATGAGAAGCAAGAGGATTCCAGCCTGTGCCAAAGGGCATGAGTAACCATTTGTCCACAAATGTCACCCTATTTCAGTGAACCAAGGTAACTAAACTAGATACCCCCAATATTCAACAAAAAAGAATCACTGGAATGCACACTCCATTGTACCAATACTGACGAATTTATGCATAAGCCCAATTTACCAGTGTTTGTGGTTAAGTACTTTAACTTTCCACATAAGCACAGTTTTATCTGGAATGTGCTAGGAACGCCCCTGGAGCCAACGGCATGTGTCACCAGTGGGAAGGTGTCCTGGGCCATATGGACTGACCAACCAGTGGTCAGATACCTGGCACCAGCAGATTCACTCTATTTATGCCTTGGTGTTAGCACATCATGCAGATTTAGAAATTTTCAGTTTTTTAAATGTCTGTCTCTTGAAAAAATATTTTGGTTTTATTTGCTCCAGGTGTGTGTATGTGTGTGTGTCTATGTTTGGGTTTGTGGCAAGACAACGGTTGCACTTGGAATAAGCACTTTGTGGTCCTTAAAGCATTGAGTTGGTTTTTCTGAGGAGGTTAATAAAGGAAGTGAGTAAGGATGTCAGGAAGCTGTCTCTCCCATCCCTCTAGACCCTTGCTGGCTCCATCCCACCAGGTGCACAAGTAGCCACACATAGTGGGCCAGAGCAGAGGAACTAGCAAAGTGGCCATGGGAACCCCTGCACTCTTTCACACTCACTAGTGCTAGCATTCATTGCAGATCTTTAGCCATCAAAAAGCTCTTAAATATAATTATCCCACATTATCAAAATATGTTAACCCAAAGAGAGATGGAAGCCAGACAGTATCCTTCCTAACTTCCTCTTGATTTGTTTTTGCGGTGGTAGTTTTAACTTTTCACTCACCAGAGCATCTGCTGGGAGGAGAACTCAAAGACAATTCAACAAATAATTGATAAGAGAGCTAAGGGAAGGCATCGAGAATCCTATCTAATAACTGGAAGAAAAATTTAAAGAAAAAAAAAAGGAATTATCTGGCTCAACTAGCAGAAGAAAACATGATCCCAGCCCAGATTCCATGATGCAGGGCAAGAGTACCTAGGTAGAGTCATATTTGCCTGTCTACCCAGTTTTGAGACTCAAATCTTATTTGTTGTTATCTTCCTTTTCTTCCATGAACTCTACAAAACCATTTCCTTATGATAGATAGATGTAACCCTCAGACCCGCCCCTTCTATGCCATTTCCATTGTCCGCACTCCAGACTGGGGCTCTTGGCATGGCTGCCACTGAACACACACCCTACCTTCATGCTTGCCTCTGCTGGATTTGTGCTCCTAATCACAGTTATCACATTACTTCCACACTCCAGAGCTGACAACAGCTCTCAAACTCCTGTTCGACCTCATCCTGACTCCCCAAGATCTTCTTTTATTTCTCCCACTTACATAATTCTGTTCAAACTAACCATGCAGCATTAACTCTCCACCAAAAACCATTTCTCGGGCTCTTTCCCAGGCCCCGAATATGCCATGACTATTTCTCTGCCAATTCAGACCCCACTCATCTGTCAGGAGTACGGTCGGCACTATTCTCCACTTCCACGTACCATTACTTAGTTGTCTGACCCACTGGCTAGAATCACCTAGAGGTCAGGAACCACGCCTTATACTTCCTTTGTATTCGCCCTTGAAGCTATCATACAGTAGGAGCTCAAGGATAATTTGTTCAATAAAAGAAAATGTGCTAAGCAGAGTTGTAAATTCTTTCACTTAAGTAAGAAGTTTCTATTTTTGTCATTTTTCCTACTCTTTATTCATCCCCGTCCCAGCCACCCATCATAGACCTGCGCATCACTAACAAAGGACGTGGTTTAGAGCAGCCAATCTTTCTCCCAAGTAAGAGTCATGCAGTATTCCCACTGCTAAAAAATCACAGCAAAATTAACACATATCAATTTTTTAAAACTAGAGAAGACATTTCCTCTCTTCTGAACAGAACATCTATTTTGCCTTTTGCTATCCATTTCCCCACAAAAATCTAAACTATTTTCCTTCCCTCTCTCCTGTGCTCCCTCCTAAAATAATGACATTTCCAGAAACCAGGCTCATTTGATTTAAGCATCTCCCAGTGAGCTGTGTTTCCTGTCAAACTGAGGACCTTTCAGTAGGGAGGGGCAAGAGAAGAATACGCAGCAGCCATCCCTGAAGCAGTCAGGGAACTAGGGGCTTTTGAACAATCCAGAAAAAATCAGAGTAGCTAGGACAAACACATAAAGTCAGGAACCCCTGCCCCCCAAGGAAAAAAATCCCCTCACAGACAGGCAATGCTGTGTGATGAAATCTGTTGTCCTTAAAGTCAGAAATCCACTATCCCTGATTTCTGGATACTTATTGTGTCATCTGCAGACTTCCACCACAGCTATTAAAACGGGATGCATCCTGGAGTGAGGTTTGCTGACTAGACTGATAGTAGCCGTAAATGATATGCAGAGAGAGGAAGGAGGGGGGAAGGAGAGAGACTGGAAGCAAGCATATATTTTACATAGGCAACAAGAGATACTTCTTAAGAGAGTCAGCCCTGAGGCTGGAGAATCTTGGGTTTAGATCCTTGATCAGTCACTCACTCATGGCCTCTCTAAGCTTCACCCTCTTCATATGTTAGTCAGGTCACAGGGCTAGAAATTGATGAGGGATGAGATTTCACTGAAATAGGGAAGAGAGAAATCCAGCATTACATTTACTGAAGAAACACTAACAACATGCCCATTAAAGAACACAGAACCTGAGAAGTAAATACTAGAAGAGTAAAGCAATTATCATTATTTAAAAAATATGTAAGTATATAAGCACCTATGTGGCAAACCCCAGAGGATAAATATATATATATGTATGTATACACACACACACACATATATATATATACACATATATATATACACTAAGAAACTTCAGTAAGGTGGCTGGCTATTAATTAAAAATTAATGACTTTCCTATATATAAACAATAATCATTTAGAAATAATGATAAAAACAAGATGCTACTGGGTATGACAATAGAAGCAGCAAAAACAAAATGTCTACAAATAATCTCAATAAAAATGTGCAGAATGTCAGAAAAAAAAAACTAAATACTCTGTTTAGGAAAAGAAAGATTAAATATACAAGTAATGATTAAATATGCCTTATTCCTGGATAGAAAGTTTCAATTTTGTAATAATAATAATACATAAATTAATACAATCCAAATAAAAATTCTCAATATTTGAACTTGAAAACCATTTTAAATTGTGGCTAAAAGAAAAATAGGACAGAAGAGGAGTCAAGGTGACAGACTAGAAACAGCCTGTACATGCCACTCTCACAGAGAAGATCCAAAGTGGCAGAGATCCACCTTCTCATCAATCATGTAGGAAAGAGAATTGGGAATGAACAGAGAGACAATGAGGGGCACCCAAAGTAAAGGAGAGGGAAGTGGGGTGACTCACTCAGCAGGACTGGAGGTAGCCAGAGAGGGTGTCTGCATATGGGGAAGGGACAGAGGAGAGAACCCCGGGGCTACCACTGAGGACATTGCTACCTGAGCCGTGAGAGGGTTCCTCCACTGCAGCAGGTCTCTGGACTGACACAGGCAGCTTCCTGGAGACGGTTCGGCAGCACTGCCCCAGAGAGAAGGCACAGCAGGGTCCCACAGGCTTCCAAACCCTGGGAGCTGCAGCTGGTGCCATTCCAAGGTCCCAGCCCCAGAGCACTGCATCTTCCCCGGGAGTCAGCTCCACTGCTGCCACCTCCCCATCACCCCTGCCAGACCGGAGAGGTCAGGCACTCTTGCATGCCCCATGAGCGGGTCCACAGGACCTGGACCTGGGAGGAGCATGTGCCCCCAGCCCCTGGCATCTACCACTGCTGTCTGGATAGTGCAGCCGCTGCTGCTGCTGCCTGGGTAGTGCCACCACTGACCAACTTGGACAGGGAAAACAGCCATGCCACCGTATGTTACCTGGCCCTTGCACACCACCTCCCTGCTACACACCACTGCACGCTGTCTGCCCTCCATGCACCACCACTGCCACCGACCTGGGTGGAACAAACACTCACAGCCCTGGGAACTACTGCTGCTACCTAAGAAGCCCCACCCAGCCACCACTGCTGTAGCCACCAGGGGATCCAGGCAGAGCAAACCCCCAAAGCCACCCAACTCCACAGAGAGGGACCTGCCCTACCCCCACCCAAGCTTTCAACAGTGGCCTCAGGATCGGCCCATCCATCCACATGAGTATCCCCCAGCACCTGCTTGGACTGTGATAACCAAAGGAGGATGGTGAGACACAAGGGAGAAGCAGTATTTCAGGCTCACAGTGCATCTGCCCCCCTCCTGCCTCGTCAATGTCCCAGAGAAGAACTCAGGCATACATCCAGGGACCTCTCCCTCTCTTCACTCGCAATAGAGTACCCAGCAGAGGAGAGCAGGTGTACTGAAAAGCTATCTGTTTTGAACTGAGAAAAGAGGCTCCAGATAAGAAGGAACCAGCATAAGAACTCTGGTGACATGAAAACACAGGCTGTTTTGAGACACCCCCATCCCCCAAAGGATTATGCTAGCTCTCAAACAACAGACTCCAACCAAAATGAAATTTTTGAAATGTCAGATATGGAATGCAGAATAAGGATGGTAAATAAGATCAATGAGATTGATGAGAAAGTTGAAAACCAACACAAGGAAACCAAAAAAAAAATTCAGGGTATAAATGAAAAATACCCTAAAGAGATAGATCATCTAAGAAAAATATAACAGAACTTCTGCAAATGAAGGAGTCACTTAGGAAATTTCAAAATAAAGTGGAAAGTTTTAACAATAGACCAGAACAAGCAGAAGAAAGAATTTCAGAGCTTAAAGACAGTCAGTATATAATAACAAAGAGATAAAATCAACAAGAAGATATAACAATTCTAAACATGTATGCACCTAAAAGAGGAGTTCCCAGATTCATAAAACAAATTCTACTAGATCTAAGCAAAGAAATAAACAGCAACATCATAATAGCTAGGGACGTCAACACTCTGCTGACAGAACTAGACAGATTATCAAGACCGAAAATCAATGATGAAACACTAGATTTAAGCAGGTCTCTAGAACAAATATACCTAACAGACATTTATAGAACATTCTACCCCAAAACTGCAGCATATGCATTCTTCTCATCAGTACATGGGACATTTTCCAATGAGTGAGTCACCCCACTTCCCTGTCCTTTACTTTGGGTGCCTCTAATTGTCTGTCTATATTTTCCAATATAGAGAATATGTTAGGTCATAAAACAAGTCTCAGCAAATTTAGCAAAATTGAAATCATACCATGTATCTTCTCAGACAATAGAGGAATAAAATCCAAATCAATTCCAAAAATAACTCTGAAATCTACACAAATGCATGGAAATTAAACAACCTGCTGAAGAACAATCCTTGGGTCAATGAAGAAATCAAGATGAATATCAAAAAGTTTTCAAACTGAATGACAAATGTGTCACAAGTTTCCAAAATCTCTGGGATACATAAAAAGCAGTGCAAATAGGGAAGTTCATAGAGTTAAATGCTTACATCAAAAAATAAAAAGATCACAAATTAACTACCTAATGTCACACCTCAAGGAACTAGAAAAAAAACAAACCAAACCCAAAGCTAGCAGAAGAAAAGATATAACAAAGATCAGAGCAGACTAAATGAAATGGAAAACAAAAACACAATACAAAGACTCAACTAAACAAAAAGTTGGTTCTTTGTAAAAAATAAACAAAATTGGCAGACCACTAGCTAGATTAACCAGAAATATAAGAGAAAGGATTCAAATAAGTTCAATCAGAAATGAAAAAGGAGACATTACAACTGACACCACAAATACACAAACTATCACCAAAGACTACCATGAAAATCTCTATCCACACAAAGTAGATAATCTAGAGGAAATGGATTAATTTTTGGAAACACATAACCTTTAAGCTTGAATCAGGAAGAAATAGAAATCCTAAATAAACCAATAATGAGTAGTGAAATTGAAACAGTAATTAAAAAATCTCTCAACAAAAAAAAAATCTCAGGACCAGACGGATTTACAGCTGAATTCTACCCGACCTACAAAGAACTGGCACCTATCCTATTAAAACTGTTCCATAGCACTGAGAATGAGGGAATCCTCTCTGACTCACTCTCTAAAGCCAGTATCACCCTGAGACCAAAGCCAGGAAAGGGCACAACAAAAAAAGAAAACCTAGATCAATATCCCTCATAAACATAGATGCAAAAATCCTCAACAAAATACTAGGAAACTGAATCTAACAGCACATCAAAAAGATAGTTCACCATGATCAAGTAGGTTTCATCCAGGTGATGAAAGAATGGCTCAATATATGCAAATCAATAAATGTGATTCAAAACATACAGAATTAAAAATAAAACCATATAATCATCTCAATAGATGCAGAAAAGGCATTCAATAAAACCCAGCACCCTTCATCATAAAAACCCACAATGAATTAGGCATAGAAGGAACATACTTTAAAATAATAAAAGCCATATATGACAAACCCACAACAAACAATATACTGAAAGACGAAGAGTTGAAAGCATTCTGCTTAAGAACTAGAACACCACAAGGATGCTGACTGTCACCACTTCTATTCAACATAGTACTGCAAGTCATAGCCAGAGCAATTAGACAACAGAAAGAAATAAAGAGCATTTAAATAGGGAAATAGGAGGTCAAACTACTCCTGTTTGCCACTGATATGATCCTATATCTAGAAAACCCTAAAAACTCCACCAAAAGATTTCAATAATTAATAAATACATTCAGTAAAGTCTCAGGTTATAAAATTAATGTACACAAATCAGTAGCATTTCTATATGCTAATAAGAGTCAAGCTAAGAGTCAAATTAAGAACTCAATACCATCTACAATAGCTGCAAAAAAAAAATACCAGAATATAATTAAGGAGGTGAAATACCTTTACAAAACACTGATGAAAAAAATCATAATGACCCAAATAAATGAAAAAAATCCCATGCTCATGGACTGAAAGAATCAACATTTTAAAACATCCATATGGCCTAAAGTGATTTACAGATGAGAAGATATCCAAGGTAGCAGGCTCAGGCCTCAAGTGGTGGCTGCTGTGGCTGAACATTCCTGCCTTGGGGTCCCTGAGCATTCTACAAGTTATGCGTCTCCGCGGTACATCAAAGCAATCAAGAGAAATCGTTGTACGTTCCGTGACCAGGTCCGCTCGTTGCCAGTGATCTGGGTCGGTCAGTGGGTCTTTGGCCCTGGTTAGTGTGCCGCAAGGGCAACGGATTTTGGAATAACAGCTGAATTCTACCTTGTTGAACGACCTCAGTTCCATTTTTGGACGTGGGGTGACTGCAGTGTGTGCGGCAGGCTACATGCCTTATGGCGAGAATTGATATCTTCCCCAGTAACCATGAGGGTTGCACAGTGCCCAGCCACCTGTTGACATGGCAGAATGTAGAGTCCTATTAACAACGTTCGTCTAGCACACTGACAATGAGGACTCTTCACTACACCTGATATGAACATCCACTCAGAACTAGCACGTGAGGGGATAGCACAGTGAGCTCTAAAACGCTGTCAAGGATAAGAGCCTCTACTAGGTCTCTGGACTGTGCAAATGCTTGGCTCTGCGGTAGAGAGCC